ATTTAAATGAAAATCAGTCACAAGTAGCTCCTTTAGAGTCGATTGTCATGCCTTGGGTCATGTGGTTCTGCAACTTGACCCAAGTGTGATTGGCCCAAGTATGTCACCTGATCTGAAGGTACCTGACCTAAAGGATATGAGAGGGACCAATAGCCCATGAGGCAGCCTGGCTAGAGGACTTTGTTCACTGCGACCACCAATACTACATAATGACTGGCCAGCCTAATTAAATTCTCCGGCAATCTTAAATGAGAGGCAGGAGACCCAGTGGAGTGCAGCAGAAAAGAAATACAAAGGTGTAAGGACAGCCAGGAGGCAGCAGAAGAGATGAACATTGAGGGTTAGCTGCACTAGGCAGACAGCCATAGGAATAGCAGTTATAAGTGCAATAGAAAGAAATATCTGGGACAGAGCCTAGGGTCAAGAAGAGATAGCACTAGGGTTATTGTTGGGATATAGGAGCAGTTGTGAGCTGAATGGGAGAAGTGACCATTCACCTGCTGAGGTGATTCCTTTAGTTTCAACTTCATGTATTCTTAAAAAAGCCTCCATCCATAAAATGTATGTTTCTTTTCCTCACTGCCTAATTCCACCCCTATTTGTCATGTGTTTCACAAAATTGCATGCTTATCAGACTCAGCCAAGGCACTTGGAAAGTTTAAGAGATTCTTTCTTTCTACTTAGGACTTTTAGAGTGTAAAATCCTCCATGATCCTGCTTATTGTCTCCAGCATCACCTGAGCTGTTCTTTCTTAAAGGAATGGTGGGTTCTTTGTAACAGTACTGGGCACTTTTCTCGCAAAGTAACAACATAAACACAGATAATTGTTCTTAATGACTAGCAGTAACCCAACTGTGATGTAGGTTCTCACGACCGTGTCTTTGTATTTACTGCTCAGGGCCCTGCAACGGCCTGGAAGAGAGAGCTTTCTTTCACTTTAAATATTCGTATTCTTTATATCTTGATTATGATATCAATGAAAACTTCTTTAACGTTGTTATCCTTTTCTGGCCCCCACCAGACAGGTATGGGTCTTGGCTCTCTGCTTTTCTGACACCTGTCCCAGATCGTCATTGTTTTAGAATCTATTTACTTGCCTTTTTTCCTCATTAGATTAAGCAACTACAGGACTAATATTCTAACTAGTGTATTCTTATGTGGTTCTGCTTGAAGTATACAGGTCTGCAAGAACTTAATACAGTCATTGGAGGAAAGAACACCCAATTCATGGGAGATCTCGGGGAGCCAGTGCTATATAGTAGAAAGAAAGCTGGAGTTGGATTCTGGATCTGGCTGATTATTTGCGTAATCACAAAGTATCTCAACCTCTGTACCTGATTCTCCACATATGAAACGTGATTAGTTGTATAAGGGTTCGGACCAGTAACTTCTGTGGTCCTTTGCAATGCTGTGAATGCCCTTGAAGATAGGCCCAGGGACTTGCTCCTTCTCACACCTCATCCCCACCCCACCCATGGCCAGGGTAATGTTGCAGGCTGCTGCAGTGGCATTACACATCTGGTTAGAAGGTTCATACCCAGGGCTCTAATTACTTCTTGTTGTTGCTTGATTTTGTGGAATGGAGAAGAGAATTTGTCATTTAATATTACACGGAACCCTTTTTCTGCAAAATCAAGATAGGCTTCAAGATATAGGTAACATAGACCATATCGGTCTGAAGGCAGAGCCACATAAAGTTTTAATTTCAAATATGTAAAACTATGTTCAATAAAGGAAACTTTGAGAGGCATAATTCTTCAGGCTACCATGCTCAAAAAAAAAATGTTTGTGAGCTACCTTTATGCATTTCAAATTCAAAGACAAGGGAGGACAGTATGTAAAAATGATTTTATTTAACATACATGTATATCAAATATAAAATTAGTTGAGCTGACAAGTCTAAGCAGATAAAACTCTCTAAACAGATCATATAAAACAGAAAATTAACAACTATCATCTCTTATATGCTTCTCATCTATAACAAAGTAATTTTGCCATTGGTATAACTATGATATTATTGAAAAACATTTTTTTCTATTTGACAGTATGAAATAGAAAATGGAAAATAAGAAATATATCTATATTCTGAAAAAAATAATTTTTAAACAAGAAAAAAAACTTATATATTTGCTTGTCCTTAGAAAGAAATATATCTAGCAGAGCAAAGATCTGGTGTAGGCAATATACTCACAGTCACCATGTTAATTTATTTTCAGGAACCAACTTTCTGGCAGGAAAGGATGCATGACTCCCCCTGATTCCCCCCACCAAGAGTTACTCAAACAAGGATTTAGCTAAAGTCCATTGACAGACACTTCCTTGACATGTTTGGCTCCACCCTCACAATTAACAGGCTCTTGTTTGAGATTGAGGACCATAGCTAGTCTCCTAATAGATCCCCTTGTCCTATCTTGTCCCATGCTCCCATTCTTCCTCCATGCTTTTGGGAGTTACCTTTCTGAATCCCAAATCTCCATTGCCTGTTCATAAAGTCCACACTCCTTGGTCTACACAAGACTCGTACCACTTGATCACTGCTCTCCTTTTCCGACATCTCTCCTCATCAGCCTTGCTCTTCTGCACCAGCCTCTGAACCACTTGCATTTGCCTGAATGCCCAATGGAGTTTCATGCTTTCAGTCAACAAATAGTAAGAGTACCTCACACTTCTGTGCCAGGCATGTTGTGGGCAGTTTTTATGCATTTGCTCATACTGTTCTCATTGTGTAAAATGTCCTTTTCAAATCTGTCACCAGAATACACTTCATATTTCCAACTCAGTACACAGTCCCTATGGTTTTGGCCTTACCAGTTAAAACCAATCTGCTCGGGTTTTTTTCTAAGCCTTCTTTTTCTGTGCCTTCAATTAGCTCTAGTGCATAAAGTCTTAATACTTCTATGTCCATGTTGCCATAAACTTTTAGGAAAAGGTCCATATCTCATGTACCATTTCATCCCTAATACCTGTCTAGTACCTGACTCTTACAGTATTTCAATAGTCCTGTTTGGCAACAAAACATTGCATCAGATACTACTTGATTACCATTTCACAAGTTAGAATAGAAGTTGAAAAATACAACGTACTTGCAGGATCATAAGGATGAATATTAACTGATGAATTCTGGACACTCATTACAACACATATTAATGGCTCAGTGTTTCTGCTACAACCACAATCAGGAATATTTGCATCTCTTTCTATGTAGGTAAGAAACTAATCAAACTGAGCACAACAAAAACTCTCTTTTTCTCCTAAGTTCAATTCTAGTGTTGTGGAGCATTTAGTAAATAAAACCTTCCTCCCAGTTCCCTCTCCCGTAAATAGTGGAAGAACACATCGGCATAATAAGATCACCTCTCACTATTTCTCAGCTTAGTGCTGGCATTGCCTCCTTCAGGTTGCTCTGGTGATTTAATGTCTTCTTCCCTATATTCCCAGAGCACTGTATACACTTTAGTATGGTTAATTAAAAAATATTAATTCTAGATAATTCTAGACCATGAAATTGCAACAGGTCAGTGCCTGGCATATAGTGAGCACTCAAATGAATGATGAATTGAATTTTGCTTTCAGGATATGAAGTAAGTCAAGACTAACTGTTAATTCCAACCTTAATTACCCCTTGGCATTTAATGAGGGATCGTCATCTTTGAACAGATTTAACATCATGCAGTCGTTTTTTGTTACATGCAATACTAAAGTCTGCAAAAAGGTGTTAATTATTTACAAGGACACCATATTTTTTTTAAAAAAATGATTTAAACAGTTGCTACAAGGGTAATACACAGGAGTGAAAAAACACTAATACAATGGATTTCTAATTGTTGTTGCTTTTACATATACATAAGTAAAATAATTTTAAGTGGTTAGAATAGGCCCATAGAACAACTTTATTCTGTGGTGTTGCCATTTCATGTTTTAATTTAAATGATTAAACACAAAACTTTATTATTATTAAACTCTAGCTAAATTTGTTGTGGGTAAATTACTGGTGATAAAACATCAGTTACACTAAAAATCTGCTCTTAAATCTGTTCTGTTTGGATCACTGAGTGATTGACCCAACCTCCTCATACCAGTCAATATATGACTGATTATTTTGTGATTCTCGATAGTTTATAAAGTAACTTTAATACTTGAAGTGTAAGTCTATCTTGTGGCTTAATTGTAGGATTTTATAATTTTGGAAAAGTACTTGAATGCCTGCCTTAACGCTGCTACATCTCAACTTTGATATTAAAGCAGCATCAGTGTAGTCAATTTACATGCCCGGTGGTACTAAGACATGTAAAAATTATTGCTAACAGTTATTTCCTTTGGTCCTACTTGTTTGGGGTTTATATACTACTGTGGCACCCTTCTTTTAAGGATATAAGCTTATTACTTACTTGGCAGTGAAAGAGAAAACTGACTAGAAAACAAATCTAAGGGCTTTTAAAAATTATACAGTACATTAGTACTTTAAAAGATAAACTATCCAATGACATATATGCAAGTTTCACCACAATCAGGGCATAAGAAAAGGGATTAAACTTGCTTTGACATTCGCCTCCACAAATGCTCTGTAATAACCACACTGGTAAGACAATAAAGCAATCAAGACCAAACTTAATTTGTCTCTCAGTCTGAGTGTATGAAGATATCTGCATATTTAATTGGCACGTACGCACTCCAAGTACCCAAATTACATCAGTTCTATATCCATTTACCTCTGAGAGTGGTTTAAGGTAACCACAATGACACATAAAAGAAAAAAAAATAAATGCCCGGCTTCCTATTAAGTAAAGCCAAATCAAATTGTTCTGCTGATGCTATATTAGCTATTTCTGCAGGAAAACATTTCTATACTTCAGTTACTTTATCATTAAACCGCAACTTTGCCAATATGATTTCAATTAATGAAAATATTTTCACTCACTGGGAATTACATATAATACATGAAAAAAAGATTGAGAATTTTTTGGCCAATCATCAAACAAGTTTTCATCTGAACGTGGGAAATTCTTTCAGTTTATATAAGTTTTTCAATGAAACAGCATAAATTTACAATAAATTTAGTAATTTCATTCAATAAGTCTACCGATCTTCAAATTCAGGCCTAACAGAGAAGAGAAATGATTACAGGAGAAAAAAATAACACAAATAATCTCCTGTGGCCATCATCTTAGGGGCTGGCTTTTCTTGTAATGATGAATTCTATCTCAAGGTGCCATGTTTCCAGTGCTTTAAAATGGAACTGCCTGAGGAAGATCAGAAAGCCTTTGTTCTTGGGCTTACACAGTAAGCACTTTGTGTGATTCGTAATCACATTTTTATCCAGAACAGTGTCACAGGTCACATTTTTCTTGAGGATGCTTATACTGACTTGTGCTCTATAAATATAAACATATTAATACACAGAATACACACACTGACACGAGGATGTGAAGTTAGCCAGCCATCCATAAGCAGAATGGAATAAAAATTGCAGGAAGGGTAGTATATGATGCCAAGCCCAGAAAGACTATAGATGCCAATCCCAAGATTGCTGAAGCAAGAACACTTCTCTGATCACGAATAATTATCTTCAAATTCTCACAAAACTGGAAAATAAAATTTAAGAATATTAGAAAAGGTGACTATGTCTAAGAATTATATATACTAAATATTAAAGCACAATTTTCCCAGCTATTTTCTGTCTACTAGAAGAACTAGAATTTATCTTATGACTTATGAAAGAACTTAAGATGTTAATAGTTCAATTTCTTGATTCCATATCCCATAGCAGCTGAAACAAAACTTTAGGCAACTGGGTTAGTAATGGCAGTTGCCTTTGTAAATACAGAACTTCTATAGAAATCTATAGAGAATGCAACCACATAAAAGTTACTCAGGATTAAAGGTTAAAAACATTAAACTGCCTAGCAATAACAATAACATTCTAAAATTAGATGAAGAGATCTCTACTATTAAATAATTGAATTCAGCCTATTATTATTATTGGTGAATTCTATTTCTACAATTTACTATTCTAAAATTTGATGATACAAATGATAACTTTCTTATAAGTCTGAAAATCTATAGGCATAGAAAGTCTAATTTTGTTGTCATATCTCATTCCTTGCCTAAATAAATTAAACAAATTCACAATCAATTATGTAATTAAAAACTTGGAAAGATAACTTAAATATGCCCCCTACCCCTGGAGAGTATATTCTTCTCATATATCATAATTTTTTTCTTAGAAAACTAATTTTACTCAGAAGTGATGGCCTCTGTTTGAGTCCAGGATCTACTTCTTATCTCTGTGACCTCAAGTAAATCACTTAACCGGTCCAGACTATCCTCTTCTCCATGGGAACAGTGAGGTCGTTGTGAGGATCAAATGAAATATTTTATGCAAAAGTACTCTTCATTCTTCTACATGCTGTGTAAATGTAAGGCGTTACAATAATTATTACTGCTACATCTCCTGACAATTATCTCTACCTCATCACTGTCAGGGCAGATTTTAGCAATTAATTGCTCCATTTTTATATAAGTTTTGTTACTCATACTAGTTTTAAGCTCATTTTCTAGAAATAACATAGTATAAGCTCTTAGGGTCTCCTACAGTGGCTTACATACTATTGGACAACTAAGTCTCCAAATTCTTAATAGATAGAATGAACAAATCCAATATATTATAATATACTATCTTCACTATAAGGTTATCTATATCCATATTTTATACCATATCTAAATATAGTGTCAAACATATACGTTGTCTCTTTTTACTAAACTAATAAGACATTGAGTAACATACAATCTTTAAGTAGTGATGATCAAACTGAATGAAGTTTTCAGGACAATGAGAAAAGTTACTTGGCAAATAATGGGAAAATATACATTTAGTAAATGAGTAAGTTGTCTTGATATGGTTATGCTTCTTTTATCTTTTTCTTGGTAATTTTTAATTAAAGCAAACAGAATCATGGGGACTCTCTTTCCCCCAAAAGCAGATTTTTTCAAGGAGCGTCTCATTTCTAATGTCCCATTCTTGTTCACTTGGCCATCAGCCCTCATGGCATCTTTACTGTGCTCAACAGCAGGAAGTCTCTTGCACTTCTAGGTGTTAAGAAGCCTGTAGGGGCACTTTCTGAGCACTGAATCTCCAGAAATTAAAAGAGGTGTTTACATTCATTTTGGGCAACAAAAAGCAATATCAGCAAAGTAAAACAAAGCATAGTAAAAAAAAAAAAAAAAGCATAAGAAATAGTAATGGTTACTAATTAAAGGGCTTTATAGTTAATGAAACACTGAAATTGTGAAGTTATATTTTTAAAAATTCCTTAATTTTATGATTTCTAAGCTTGTAAAAAAAAATCACTACAAAGAAATAAAGGATTCTCTCTTTTCCAGTTCATTTTCAAATTAGTTGCAGTGTTTTCATGAGGGAAAGTGCTCTTGAGAGTTTGTTTAAACTCAGATTTAAGAGACAACTTTGCAACTCTTGTGTTAAAGCTAGCAAAGTTATATATATGAAGAACTCAAAACTCACATCCAAAATCAAGTAATTCCTTATGTTTCTGAAAAGTAGAAACCAGTCCTCCTTTAGCATTAATGACCTACTTCTTACAAGACATGTTCAAAACACAGTTCTTAGAATTGGAAAATTTGGGATGGAGATTTTTTTCCCGGGAATTCTACTCTGTGGCCAAATTGTTAAACTATTCAAAATGAAGACAAAAACTGTTTCACAAGAGGTGCTATGTAGCAACAGCAATTAAAACCCTTCTCTACTCCTGTAAAGCCTTACAAAGTTTCCAAAGATGAAAAACTACTCCGACTAGTTATTTATGCAGATTAAATATTTTGCTACCTTAAAAAAGCACTTGTACTGTTTTTCAGTAGAAATATATAATACAGAACTATATGTGTTCCATGAAAGGGTAACTCCTAATTACGGGATAAAAGTACTGTTTTCCTTAGAGAAATGATTTGCTTCGTTCCTAAGTAAATCTGACATGTTTCCTTTTGTACACTTTTGGACCCAGTGTTTGTAAATGTGGTGAAGTTCATTTCTAAACAGGCCTGGACTGGGGCTGTGATTCTTGAATCACTGCACAGTGCTCTAACTGTATTTTTATTTTACTTAGAAAAGCATTCCTAGATTGAGCCTGTTGTGGCTCTATAAATAATTACAAGGAGTTTCATGATACTTTCATGGTCTGCCATAGAGGGAAGATTTTCTCCTATGGGTCAAAAAATTAATCAAGATGTGGAGCAATAAAAAAAATCACTTACATGGACTCAGATTCTTTTGGTCCAAAAAACTAAATGCAAAGAGTCAAACACGAAGCTCATTTTGTGATTACCTAGACTTCCTTGTTAAGAGTGGACATTAACAATACCTGTTTAACAACTGCAGCGAAGGCTGAGAAAGCTTCTAATTGCAAATGAAGTTGCAGGCTTAAAACGTTAGCTATCTTTAGAAGTTAAGAGCTCTCGAAAATAAATAAAAATTCATTCCTCTCTCAGTTTGGATTTGTGTCTAATTTAAAAATCTTAAATTCTAATATTGTATTTTTTAACTATCCATAAAAATTACGTTCCAATATTTAATGGCTCTTCTTAAAAACCAATTGTTTTGATCTCTGGGGAACTCATAATCTAACCCACCTTTGGGGCTAATAGGTAAAGGATGCTAACAATGAGGACATCTAGATGGAGATTAAAGCCAACACAGAAAGAATTCATAATACTCAGGAAGACTTATCTGACGCCCAGGCACAGGAATAAGGGATCCTATCTACCAGGGAGGTCTTCTTACTGGGAATTTTGATAGTTTACATTAAGCAAAGGGATTACACTTTTTCAGTTTACAGAGGGAGAACACTGCAAGCTCTCTTATTTTAAAGACACCATTTGTATATAGTGTTATGGATTAAATATAAACTCTGGACACCTTCCTTCCAAATGCAATTCTTGGGAAGAGATGCATACTACGCTGGGTGGACACCTTGACGACTTCAGCGGCAATAACTGGGCAGCTCTGTTGGACTCTCAGGGAGCGGT